GGCACACAAGTAGACTGCACTAAGGTACATAGTGCATTGTTTTTTTTTAAATTTCAATGAACGGTGCTGCCATGGTTACTAAAAATAGAAATTTCTGTATAAAAATTCCTTTAAAACACTACTCCACCTACAGTTTTGGTATGATTTCAATTTAATGTGGCACACAAATAGACTACACTTAGATACATAATTCTATTTAATGCTGTCTGTTGCAAAGTTTCAAATCCAAGTGCTTCTTTTTCTTTGTTATGCATACAGACCAGTAGAGCTACAGTCTCATCAGAGACTTTATTATCCTTTTCATCACACAGCAACTTTCTTTTTTTCAGTATACACAGATATATACATACACATAAAAGGAGACATCATCTCATGATCTGTGGATCCATTGAAAACTTTAAGGACAAAACTGTTGATAATTCATTCATGTAAAGAGTGTTGACTTGAATATTGAATATCTAAATGGAACTAAGTTAGAGAATTAATTTAATAAGTATTATATTGTATATTACTCTTTTTATTCATCTGTCAAATTTCTTAATTAGAAATAATTAAAACTTAAAGGCTTAAATAAGGATTTTTTTCATTATTTTAATTAGAACAAGTTCTTTAATTTATTTTTCTCTTACATAATTGATAAACAGGCATTTAAGGTCATATGCGCAATGTAGTTTGCACTTTATTGGGTTCTTCCCTGGAGTTCAATAGTTCCACTAAAGGAAGGACCTGTGTGCAATATTTTTATTGTCTATATATGGATTTGTAAATCTCCTCTAAAACAGTTTTGATGAAAAAAAAAATCTGGAATTTATGTTTTGTAATTTTTGTACATTTTTCTTTGAATAATGCAAAAATTTTCAAACTTTAATATCTTTTCAAAAATCCCTGGAAATGCATGCTGATTTTTTGTCTAAAAATATGTCATATGGTACATGTATTATATAAGTTTAAATATAGAATTTCTTGAAAAATTATCAGTAGGTAAGATACCTTGCATATTTCCTTAAATGTAAAATGAAGGGATGTGTACCTTTATTAAATGAACTAGGGAATTCATAAGTGTGCATATTTATTTAATAGTGTTTTATTTTGCATGCACTATGCCTAAAGGCACAGATTTTTTACCGGGTGGTAAATTCCAGGTGAGGGAGGGGCTTATTTTGTACAGTTGTGAATGCCTTGGGAGCTACCAGTCTACCTGTGGCCATCTGTCACCTAATTCCTATACACAGGAAGTGGTTTAATACACAGTGAAATACCCAGATGTCAAACTTTACCTGTGTTGGGGTTTTGAGACAATTTAATTTGAATTAATAGAAGTAATACAAACTTTCTCTATAATCTATATTGATTTATTTATGTCAATGTTTGAAAACACCCCTACCCATTTAAAACAATTATGATGATATCATACTGTAAACTCAAATATTACAACAAAGATTATTTTAGACGTTAAAGTATGTGTTAATAAAAAAAATAAATACTCCAGTAACAAGTCTAACGACCAAATAAGACTTAATGTTTCATTCACCCCCAGGATTCCATGAATTGAATGAAAAGAAAGCCTTGTTAATTAACTATATTTCATTAAAAAGAAAAATGTAGTCAGGGTTTGACACATGGTGCGAGTGCACTATGTGTCAAACCCTGACTACTATAATACATGTAGGCATATAGTACATGCAAAATACTACACTAATGTTATTATTATGCATCCCTATTATAATGTCACCTTGTGCAACGTGCGTCATAATCTTTTTCTTTAATTTTGAACTTTCCATGCTTTAGGTATAATGTACAGATAGTTTTAGAGAATAGTAATTGACTGAAGGGGGGGGGGGAGGGGTTTGCAAGAAACTATTTTAAAAGAATTATTTTGAATGTTAATTTTTCATCTGAAGTGTTAAGTACTGCACTGTAGCTCTCCGAAATAATATATATTGACAGACGGGAGAGCTACATGTGCAGTGCCACCCATAGTCGAGCACTATTTCGGCATAGTATGTTTATGCTACAGTGTATTTAAATCCTAAGAACATAATGCAAGAATAGTAGGGTATATGGGTTATGTCACAGAGACAAACTGACAGGAAGCATAATAATTGACAATATGCATTTATGACAAGAAAATTGAATTCCTGAAAGAAGTTGAATAAATTTAAGCCACTGAAGTACCAATCTAGTTAAAATTAGATGTTAGATCTGCTCACATAGTCACTACAGTCAGTTTAGCGAGTATGCGTGCGGGTCTAACATCTTATTTAAATTACATGTAGATTGCTGAAGTAAAAGTTTAATACCCAATATCATTCTGCTATATTTGCATCCGTGCTAGTATTAACAGTGAGCTTTAACTAACTGTGGTCTGAATCTCTTATTTTATGTGTTTTGGGGTGTCAAAAATCAAGGTGCATACAGATGTTAAACAAAGAAGAAACTTGCAATGGTCTAAGGTGACTTATCAGTTGAATCCATGTCAAGGGTGCATATAGTTATTTTATGTACCAAAAATAATAAGTAAAAGATCAGCAGTGTGCTTTTATTAAAGAAGTAACAGAACTAAGGAAAACATGTCTTCTACTGGATGATAAGAAACACTGAGTAGAGTACCACCGCAATTTTTAGCCGGGCTAATTGCTCGAAGAGCAATTGCTGGCTTATGTGATCCTGTTCAAGGCAGGATGTTGACCCAATAGTTGCCATTTTAAAGTTGACCCAATAGTTGCCATTTTAAAGTTACGTGCAAAAATATAGTTCATACTCTCAACCGCTTTTGAGATAATACAAACGCTATATAAAGCAACAAAAATAAAACAAAGTTTTATCTATATAAAATAAACATTTAGTAGTAATGACTTTGAAAGCTTCATATGTCAAAGAACAAAGTTCATTAGCATAAGGATTTTTGATAATCAGTGTTACCGTCGTTCTCTACACATACGAGGTAAAGCAGGAAAGGGAACCAGACTGGCCTATATTTGTTTACATTCAGCTGCGGTACCAGATTAATTCTAATTCTGACAAAATCGGACCGTGGTAATAGGATTGAAAAACTCACTGTCAGTGTCTTATCATTTATGTTGATAGTTTTAAAATAATTTTTTCATCAGAATATAAACGTGATTCATGTAAGAAATCCATTCTACTCTGTAAATGAGCCCGGCTCTCTGTACTTCTGAGTACTTTGATTGGAAACATGCTCTTTCATCATGTTTATTTTTGAACGGGTTCAATGAACTGTCAAAAATTATGGAAATGTTTCTAATTAAGGTGTAGGTAAAATGTTTTGAAATTAGTGAAAAGGTAAAATTGTTAAATATTTTTAATGCAAACTACCAGTAAATGTGCATAATGAAGACGGTTGATTTTTTTTTTCAACATTATTTCTTGTTCATTTGTCAGATCGGGTTCGTTATGTGTAAAATAATTTCCAGCTGTCATTGGAACAAAAACAAGGCATGATCAGGATCATACAAAGAAAATTTAGAGTAAAAAATAGGTAAATTATTACAGTTTGTTCATCTGAATAAGTTTTAAAACTCTTTGAGAATCTCAGAGTGAATGACACGCCCCAATTTCATGTGATTTTTTAATTGGAAACCCATCAGTTTAGTGCAGCAAACAGGCAAAGATCTAACAACGTATATGGATCTGATCTTGTTGTAAAGCTTGACAAATGACACTTACGCAATAAATTAACCTTAATGATTAGGAGGAAAATAAACAAAAAAGATTTGTTCTTTCTTAATTACATTTTTTCTCATTCAAAATTTACATACAAGGAATAAAAGAAGGTAATCTACATTCAAGGAAATTGTCTTTTTAGTTTGAATTAAAAAAACTGAAAGTTATAGAGATAAACCACTTTTGATTTTTAGTGCTATTTCATGTAAAATATTTAATCATTTGATTAATAAAACATTACCCCACTGCCCCCCAAATTGGTTAATTTTAAGAAATAAAAAAAATGGTGTAGGAAACACAGAAAATTAAATGAAAATAAATAAATAATGGTAGTTAAACTGTTCAATATTTTCTTTATTTGGTTTAAAACTTGTTTCTTAATCCCATGGGAGAATTTTTTTCTATTTTGAAATAAATATGGGATAAATCCCACATTTACAAAGAGATGGGAGATTATTTTCTGTATACAAATATATGGGAGATTTTGTCCCATTATAAAGCATTTATGGGATTTTCAAATTTCTATGGGAGAAAAAATCCCACAGAATACCTTTTTCTCCCACAGAATAATGGTGGGATATTGGTTAGGAGAAAAAATCCCACCATTATCCCATGGGATTTCTTGATTTCAGGTGTAATATCTTTTTACCTAGAAGATAATCAGGTGTAAAGTTTGGTTCATGTGTTAAGTTTTAAAAAATCCCATCAGATGACATAAATTGTTTCCACATACCTTTGGAAAAGTGGTTGGCGAAAGTCCGGATAAATGTCATGTCCGGAGTTAAATGTCGCACTGTTTTAGTATATTTTACAGGTATATTTATAAGAAGTGTTTTATTTTTCCCATTTTGCATTTTTTTCATTTCTATAATCGAAATATTCATTAAAATTTCAAAGTAATTATGACACCCCGCTTTAGATCCACCACAAAACTGACAAATACGGAATTCCCATTAGCATATTGATGTCAACTTCCGGCCCCCTTTTGGCGATTTCTCGGAATGTTGAAGCAGTAGGTCGAGTTTGACGAGGGATTTTCAATATTTGCAAGTGTAATGCGCCTTCCTGGCTGCAGTTTTCGTAAGTTTAGACCTCAAAAGACTGGCTGCAGAAAGAATATGGTTGCAAGGAATTTATTTGACGGAGTTTCAGACGAAAATACAAGTGATGACCTACTTCGAAAATCCAAGATGGCGGGTTTCGATGGGTACCTTGTTTATTATTCGGTATGTGAATATTTTTTTATTAAAAGAAAAATAAGTAACGTCAGGTGCCTGTGCTTGAGCCTTCAGCTCAGGTGAGCTAAAAAGCAGTACCTTCGTGATGGTTTTCATGTGTTGTTTAAATGCTTTCCCATCCTCCAGTTTGCCTATTTCCTGCACAGCCCTCTGGAGGCTATCTTCTTTCCTTTGGTTGGTCGCCGGTTTACCGTATGGATGATAAAACTGCGGAATCTTCACGTTATTCAGACTGTTGTAAAGCTGGATCTTGTTTTCCCGCCGCTTGCTTTTCTCTGGTTCCTTGGCACCATGTACGGTTTTCACGGTGGGACTCGCGGTGATAAAGGATGATAAGTTTGTATTTTCCTTGTCCGGTTCATTTGGACTTTCCCTGGGTTGTGAGGCCGAATCGTTGTAATCGAGCGGTAAAGCATCCTTTTTGCTTTCCTTGGCAGAATTTGGCAGATTTAACTGTAAGGAAAAAAATATAGACAAGATTAACACCCTCTAAAAAATATAAACAGTACACTGCTAAATTGTGTTAATGTGTATCTATTTAATGGATGCTTATTTCAATATTCATAAGAAATACCGGTATATGGAGAAAACGAACAGTATTCATGCTCAAATGTCCATTAAACAATACAAAACAGGAGCAGAGCAAAAACAGACCTCCAGAATATCAGAGGTGGGATAAGGTGCCATGGAATTTAATTTTAAAGGATATTATTTAATATATCATTTTTTAAAATCATTTATCATGTTTTATAGATTGAAATATAATGAAGAAATATTAAAAAGTTATCTGAATCTTGAGAACAATATCACATTCTTGTATAATATATGTATTTTTTGTGTCTTTCTCAATGAATAATGCAGGGAAGCAAATAAAAGAAATGTATATTTCTTGTATCTTAAATTTGTGAATAAAATTACCTTTGTAATAGAATAATAGTTTATTGAAAAATAAATGCCTTTTCAACCGAATAAAAGGAAATTACATGTAAATTTAAATAGCTTATTATATGTCACTGTTACATACTGGGAAGTGGGAAATATTATTAGTTGAAACCAAAGAGAATTAAATTAATCTATCCCATCTGATTATTTTTTTTAAAAAACCCTTTTATTCATTTTGATGGAGTCTACACAAGTTGTGAGCAACATCATCATTACAAAACAAGGTATAAAACCTAGCTCATCCAGGAAGGTAATAACGCTTGTAATAGACCTATACAACTGAGCCAAACCTGATTCACGGCTGACCCTCATCTTGTACATGCAATCATGTATACAGAAAAATATCAGACTGATTCTAAAAATAGCCGATATTACTAAGACTTAGTACATGTTGCGGAATGGTCTGCTGGGAGAAGTCGGAAGGTCTCGTCGGAGATACTTTAGCCACGGGTATCCAGGCATTCTGGGAGTTTCCTTTCCGTCTGTTATAGTTCTGAGGAAACGGAAATGTCACAGGTGTACACCGCCCGTAGTGAATAGCACCACACTGAGTCCCCCATCCCTTAAAATCACTCCTTAAATCACATTTTTCACAATGGTGTAGAGACCTCTTCCACTTTAATTCGATTCTACAGTTGTAGTACAGGTTGACACGAGAACAGACGTATTGTATCTCGGCACAGTTCTTGGGCATCATTCTATTACGCAGTGTTGCTGTGATGGGAGGTAGACACTTGAACACTTCCTGGCTCTTCAGAATCTGTCTGTACTTCCATCAGCTGACTGTTCATTAGCTGCAGGATTTTGGCAAGCACCCCTTCCTTTAACTTAAAGCACTCTCACCTTTAGATGTCCAAAATCAAATCCAGTCGCTTAAAATATTTTCAAAGAAAAACTGTTCTCCTGGAGATAGAGGCGTAACCTTAAAGAACTTTACTTGCCAGGTGGTACAAGCACTCACTCTTCCACACATATTACACAGATAATAAATTCCTCCAAAAATCATACACCCACTGCACCGAATTATTGTAATAACCAATTCATAATTCACATTTCTCCCTGAACTATAGTGGTTAATACATTTGAACCCTGTCAGTTCATTAGAAGACCCTGGCCTGGCAGAAGTATAAGTGTGTGTAAATAAAAGCAGAAGATCTTAGCTTAATCAAGGAATGTGGCAGCTCCTATATAACTCTACTATACTGCTGTGTGTGTTTACCACTGTGTATGTCTCAACACTGAACCAAATACCTGAGCTACATAAACGCATCTTGTGTGTATTAACCATGTATTAACCTAATGTTTTCCTCTTGGTCATTTCACGGATCACTAATTGTTCAGTCACACTGGTTTTTGTCTTATCGCATATTTCAGCCTTTAAACAGCTGATCTGGAATCAGATACAAGGTTTCCTTTATTTTCAAACCTTCTCAATGACTTATAATTTTCATAATTAAAATTTCAATCAATCAGAGAATTGTGAAAAGCGTAAAATACAGAGAAAATTGAAATTACTTGTTTTTAAAAATAAATTTAAAACATACAGCTTATGTGATCATATACTGTTTGTACTATTGTTGGTATAATTTGGTCTGATTCCAATCTTCTATAATATCTTTTGTATTACAATAAACAATTATCCTTAAAATTTACAGTTATTGTGCTCAGGTCTGCAAAATTATTTTTTTCTGAACTTGCACTGCACATACTATCTTTTAGTCAGTAATGCCCTCCCCTTTCACCCCTCCCCCCTTTCAATAGTTAAATTCAAAAGTAAAATTTCTGAAACTTAATTACATGCATGCATAAAAAATTCGTAAAATTTGATTGTAAAATTAATCCCCAGGGTTTTATAAGCTAATTATTCCCCTATCTCTGTTGTTTGCTCCAGTATTATATATGGGATCAAATGTGTATCCTTCACCCTCAATGAATTTTTTTTAAAAATAATTAATCTTAATTTAATCATGTACAGGTAAATTTTCAAGACCATAAAACTAGCAATTTAATATATTTGGATAAGATAAACAAACATTTACAGTGTATATATAGAATGATGCTTTAGTTGATGCTTGAGAGAGTCAGACAAAATTTATATACTCTTTCATTCTCATAGTGAAACATAAACAGTTTTTATCACTGAAGACATTCCATGTACCGGCCATTCAAAGGACAGAAAAATATATAAACAGGGTACTGTAAGATACCTAGCAGGGACTTTTGAACAGGTCCCGAACATTGTATTACACTGTACATCATTGATAAGGAGCTATTATAATAGATAAATCTTAAGCCTCCAAAACAGCAGGTTTCATTCAATATATTACTGAACAGCTCTTTTGAACTTAAAGCTTAATTAATACATAAAAATGTGAGCCCACACACTGCAATTCACATTACAAAAAAAAAACAAGAAAATCTAAGGCTAACAGAGGATTCTCTCTTACAAAGTAGCTATATTTTATTTGTTATATATCACGTGTAAGGTAGACCCCATCATGTTCAATTCACTCTAGCAACATTCCCCCTGATGTTTATAGCACTATCATTACAATTTACATTCATCTTCTATGTTAACACACCAAAGGTTTGGCTGCTTCATTAGTTGTGCTCAAGTCTTTATAAAAGGTCAGACATTTGCATTTATTTACTCCTCCCTCATAATAAGCCATTTCTAAATTCATTCCAGTGTAAAAAGTGGAATAATTCAAATATACATTTTGTGGATGACATTTTTCTTTTTTCAATCTTGAGACATGACTATATCAGCTTATTTATGATTAAACACTTTCATAAATTTAACTGTACTCTATAAAAGCTTTCTTTTTTTGTGGGAGGGGGGTTTTTGTTACCATATTCTTAATTCTATGAAATCGTCTTCATCTTTGATCTGAACTAAATGAATAGGATCCCATCTGATATGATAGTTTTAATGGGATACTTCATAAACACAGGTGTTTAGTAAATATATTTATCAGCAATGCATGTTTCAGATTGATTACATCTTGTACTTATAATATCTACCTATATCTATATATGTACTGGTGTACTGTTATGGACAGGGTTTGACTCACCCTTGGTGATCCGTTTGAGGATTTATTCTTGTTTGACAGCGGTCTCCTCGGACTCCGGGGGTTGGGTAACTTTGTGGAATTCGGAGAGTATGGCGGTGAACTGGGTCGTAACCTTGGCGACTGTTTACTGGATGACCTTGGTGATGTCAGAAACTGATGGGTGATGGTTTCTCCGTGACAGAGTTGCCTGAGGTTTTCTTTTAAGTGTAGCTGGGTCTCAGGATCACTCAACCAACGAGCAAATAGTTCGTCTACTTTGCTTTTTAGGAGAGGTTTTAATGCCATGGCAAGTTTATTCTGAGAAACTATAAATAATATAAAATAAAATATAGTAAATATATACTATAGCTTTTTCATAAAATCAAAGTTGTATATTCTGTATACTCTTCTTAACCAGGATTTTTTGCCTTTAGAGACTGCATGAGCTTTTTTCCTCTCATTCAAATTCTTAATTGCTTTGCTTCATTTTTTAAATAACTATATACAGATGTAATAAAGCAAAGAGTTCAATTCACTTGCCAAAAACTAAAACAAAGAATTTCAGTTAAATTTTATCCAATTGAAAGCAATTTAAATGTTCAGTTGTATATACAGATATACAATCACCTTTTTATGTTCCATTTGCATAATTTACTGACTACCAGGTATAAACTGGGAATGATATGGGAATGATGTTAAGTTAAATTACCCTTTCATTCCATCCCTTGCTTTATTAAATGGGATATCTTCTATACCCTGAATTCAGACTTTTATTGCAACCAGGGAAAAAATAAATTGTTAAATCTATGTCACCTTTTTTAGTTGAATATTGCTGTGAATATCATACTGCATTTACTGTGATATCCCATTCCTATTTGGAGTTAACACTCAGCATGCATTTTTACTTTACCGAGGACATACTATTAATATAACAATATACAGAGTCTGAATTTATATGGCTGATATCACATAAAATTTTATGCTTATTGACATACCGGTATATTAATTTAAAACAAATCATTTTAGACCCAAGCTATACAAAAAAAATATTTATGAACAATGGAAAAAAAGAGTTTTACTACAACGAAAGAATAATAAACTAGGGAGTCTAAGGAATGAGATATTTCTGAGTAATTTAATTCACATGGCAGTATGCAATTATTCCAACACTTATACATGATAATGGTTAAGTATTTTGCTGAACATGACATTGCAGATGAAGGGGTATAACTTTTAAATTAAGATATATTTCTCTTCTCATGTGTTTTGAAGTCAAATACAACAATTATACTGCTTATATAACTGATTATGCATGCTGAAACCTTACATATACTTCAAGTTTTGTCAAGTTTCAGATGTGGAAACCATTTGGATTCATGGACATGCTAAGTAAAGTAAGTTTCTTCTAACACTGCAGAAACTTGATGAAACTTGAAGTTTCAGTACTGAAAATTTGGGAAAACTACTGTATAAGTAAGATTTGTAAGTTTCTGCAGATTTTCCATAGTGTTTCAGATATGTAGAAACTTTTTTTTCATCCAGTGCAAGGCAATTCTACACAAATGAACTTTGTGGAATTCATTAGCCTTAGACCGTTGACTAGGGAAGATGCATGAATATGATTATCTTAATGGTACGTGATTTCATTGCTTTTTCCCAAAGTCCCTAAACAGTCCAAAATACGTCTATTTTTGAAATTTTTTCAGCTATCCCTAATGAACTAAAATTACTGGTAGGAGAGTACAGAATGCACTACTGAAACCAATTTGACTAATATTTTTTTTTCTTTATTAGATTTGAATAAATTTTTTTTTTTTTTCAGACATGCACAAGTATGATGGGCAAAATGTCTTGCAAATCAGCTCATCTTGAAACATTAGGAATTAAAGGAGAATTGTCTATCGAAAAGCCAATAAGATAAATGAAAGAGGAATGCATTAGAAGTATTTGTCATGTTTATTAGTGTCCCTAATCATCATGTTGACTCATCAATAAGTAGTGTTATTTCATTAAAGTTACCACTTGTGTCCAGCTTGGTATAAGTCTAACCACATCGCTAACTTATTTGGTCTCTAAAGCTTGAAACATTCAGCCTACATTGCTCTACCCAGTCTCTGGACCTTCCTACTCTTCAACACAAGATTTAATAAAACCCACCTTTATTTACATGAAAAACTGCTACCTAACAATCTGGATATACTGATTATACTCTAGCCACAAAGGATTGTGATATAACCTAGGTGATCTGAAGAATACATCCTGGGGATCCTTTATTTAATATGACTAACATGAGCTTTCCTTTCTGCAGGAGTAAACATGTACTAATTGAAAAGTGGTCTCAAAACTGAAGCAACTTCAGTGCTCATATTGGAAATTTTTTGTGAAAAATCATTTCTAAATCAGAAAATGAATTTTCTATTAAGGACGCACAGCGATTTATCAATTCAGAGTTATCTTTCCAAGTTAATTTTTGCAGGATTATTATTATTGACTGAATTAAAATTGCCCCATTGTTTTAAATGGGGTCATTGGATCTATCATTTGTTTGACCTTCCCAGGCACTGTTCAACGACAGCTGAAATAGGTGAGGATCATACATTTTGGTGGTGGTTTGTGTCAATAGCATTATCGATAATAATTTGGTGCACAACTTTTACTTCAAATACACTTCAAATCTTAAAACTTTTAAAAAGCTAGATATCAGAGTTTGACAATCATTAAGGTATGTCCGACCGACTAGTAAATAAATGGTCCAGTCATGTAAAATGTACCTTAACTACACTGATTGGTTTTGTTTATAAAATAATTGTCGAAATTTTTAAATCACTGTCAGACATTTGGTCGGACAAAGTCAAATGTTCTGTCGGACCAGTCAAAGTTTTTTCAGATCAGGTACACGTACCTAATTTTGACGCTGAGAAAAGAATATGAATAACAGCACCAAAATGCCTTACATTATTTTCAACAGCCTTCAATCTTACAAGTGTCCTTTTCTTGGGATAGAGTTTCTTTAATAAGAGACATAAAAGGCATGGTTTCTGACTTTGCTATAATGAATTGAATTGACTTTTGTCAACTTGCCATGTACACGGCCATCTTTTCTGTGTTTGTGAACACACAATATTTGCATAGCCTGACCATTTTAAAATTTGATAATTATTAAAACAAAATCTGACATAAAAGACATTTTGATGTTTTTAAAAATCATTAATTGAACAAACAATATTTTACATTTTCATTGGAGGTGTGGATAGATGTGTTGACAAGTCCAATTTGAAAAATTTATAGAAATTTTCCAATTTTTTAATTATAAGTTACAAACATTGCTATGCAAAGAAATAATAATTTCTAGCGGCTGTGTGACACAAATACTACTTTTAGCCATGTCTGTAAGTATAATGTTTATATTATTAAAGTGCAGGTTTCTAAAAATAGGTATTTTAATTTTAGTGAGAAGCAATTTTAGCAATTTAAAATGCTCACTTATGTAGCTATAATAACTACCACACAATTAATTTTTAGTGATACGACTTTCCACTTGGCTAGAATTAATTTTGATGCTGTTTATGGAAATTGAAGAAAATAAAGACAAGCATACCATTTATGGTTTTGTTGCACAGGCACTTGTTATGGAAATAAATTTTTAATAACCCATAGTATACCAGTAATTATAACAACTAGGTAACGAGATACGCAGACACTAAAAAAAGTGCCATTTTCACGGAAAAATGTGTGGTCCACAAAAATATGCTCATGCAAAGTGAAAATATTTTTAAAAGCAATTTTGTATGTACTCAAATTTGATAGATAAAAAATTTAAAGAGATTGTGTTCAAAAAAATGTTAATTGCAAAAATCCAGACTTTTTCTCTGAAGCAAAGTTGAGAGTTTTCATCTCTTGATCCATGCATTTGATACAATTAGATTTTTTATTATAATTTAATATAAGCCTTAAATAAACAATGATTTGTTGGTAAAGTTGAACCATATAACTTTTCCCCGGTATTACAAATTATGTGTAAAAATGTATTTAAAAGCAATTTTTTGTGTGCATCCTTAGATGTATCATCCATGCAAGTTTGCAAACTTTTGTGCTCATAGAAATTGGAAATGAAAATGCATCAAAAAAAATTATTTTCATTTTTTTCATTGAAAACAAAGGTGTCAGCAGAATTCATTTTTGTATGTTTGTGATTTTTATATCTGTGCAATTTTTTAATTAAAGAACTCATAGTTCCTTGGAAATGAAACCTGCACCAAAAACTTTTAACTATTCACTCAACCGGAAAATGTAGGTCAGATTCAGCATCTGAAGCAAGCCTGGTAGTGTGCATCCTTAATGTATCATATTCAACATGCAAGTTTGGTCAACAAAAGGGCTTAAATAGTGCAAATGAAACCTGCACCAAAAACATTAACCGTTGGTACTCAACTGGAAAATGTGGGTCAGATTAGCATCCGAAGCAAGCCCTGTAGTATGCATCCTTAGATGTATCATCCATGCAAGTTTGGTCAACATAGGGCTTATAGTTACTTGGAAATGAAACCCACACCAAAAACTGCACCAAAAATGTTAACCTGCTGAAAAACATTAACCTTTAATTCCTTTGCTGAATAATCTGAAACTTTGTCTGGTACAATAAAACACACTAAAACCATCTTCCATGCATGTCTAATCAGTATAGGACACAGAAGTAATTAAAAAGAAAACTGCTCCAAAAAACTTAACCTTAACCTGGGACGCCGACGCCGACGTTGAGGTGAGCTAACAAGGTATCTAACTCCGAATTACACTCACTACCCCCCTCCTCAGAAATGCAATCATTTACACTTTCAGATGAAATGCACTGGCAAACTTTTTATTACCATTGTCTTCTACGATAATTTATCTACACAACCATATATGGCATGCATGTCTTTGTTTTCATTTATCTCCGTAAACAGCATCAAAACTCTGCCCACAGAGTGTAAAGTGGAACTCAACCACGAAACAGTATGTGCTGATCCCGCACGATGCCGTGGCGCAATTTCGTTGCCTGGCCACTTGCCTTATGTAATTTTCAGATCTTCAATATGGGAACATTAGATCACATCTTCTTACAGAAAATGGTGGTTCTATTCAAAATATTTACCATGGAAACACAAAATATTATTTTGTCGTATCTACAATTCATCGATATGAAAGGTTGTGTTTTGTTGAAAAATTATTGTAGAAGACAATGGTATTAATCAACAATTTGCACGAGTTTCTCCAAAAGTGTAAATGACTGCAATTCTGGGGAGGGGGTTGTGTAATTAACCGTTGATATTTATTATTTAGCTCTCGAAAAATATTTTTGTGTGAGCCACCCATTGTCAAAAAACTATTTTTGCGCACAAAAAAATGCGCTTGTTCTGCTGATTAACAAACTTCTTACCTCAATTGCAACAAATGGAGATTTTAAAAAATTATTCCCTCCTTTACAAAAGAAAAAAAAAACGAAGCATATTGGACCGATTTTTTTGAAACCAAAATGGCAGTATAAATCAGCGAAATGTTTGATGACTGCAATATAGGAGAAGGACCAACGAGGATTTTATGAAAGTATGCACAGCTGCTGATTGACCAGATTAAAGAAATACGCTGGAAATGGATTGGCCATGTTTTTGAAAATAAGATACCAAGGGTAGCCCTAAGATGGACTCCACCAGGAAAGAGAAACAGAGGGCGACCAAAGGAGACATGGCGTCGGTGCGGTTGAAAAGGAAATGAACGATCAATATGGACTGTATTGCACTGTACAGTACCAATGGCAGCAGACAGACAGAGATGGAGGTCCTCGGTGCAGGCCTTATGTGCTCCAAGCACGAAGAGGACTAAGTAAGTAAGTATGAGGAATGTTTCGTTGTGGAAAGAGTCAAAGAATATGTTAGGAACACACGGTTAGTAATATTTTGAGATTACAGTTTTAAAAACATGGAGAAATAAATCGAGAACCGAGCACACTTTTTTGTGCGCAATAAATATACAGTTTTTTCAATGGGTGGCTCTGTAGCTCCCTGGTCTATCAATATATTTTTTTTCGGAGAGCTACAGACCTGCAGCTACGTTAGATACCCTGTATTATCATTATACAATGGGTTAAAAGATTATTACAGAATCAAGTGTCTGTGGTCTGGTCAGGGCTAGTGATGTTATGGTCGAGGCTAGTTAAAATATTGGAAGTAGCCTGATTGGTCTGGTACTCGTAAAAGTTGATGTCAAACCATGTATACACATTATTCACAATAATTCGTTTAAAATTTCGTCATACTTTAAGCATTTTGGATAATCTAATTTCACTTTCAGTAGGCTATTTTTTTAAACACCAAGACAGCAGGCGACCCAATTTCTATTCATTGTCCCGCGCAATTTCATGTAAAATCCATGAATTAATTTAAAAAATATAAAAGAAGCTGTAAAAGAAAGCTATATATTCTTCAATATTCTATAAAATACCAGAATAAAGACGATAAATGGAAAAAAAAAATAACTTACATGCAAGCAGGGTCTTGCCGTTGTTGAAAATCTGTAAACCGGATGTAATATTAAGGTAAATTATTTATAACCAGAACCCTGACGAGAACGTGCGATTTTTCCGGAATCCGAGTATTGGTGTCACACGACCCAAGATTCATATTTTAAATCAAAATAAGCTTACTAACACAACAAATGAAAAGCCTTTTTCGCAGAAAGGGTGTCGAAGAACACTTTTAACATACAGGCCCGTACATGTACGGAGGAAGCCATTTCAGTTGGTTGGAGGGGGGGGGGGTATTTTCGATTTTGTAAGTCACAATCTAGCAAAAGTCCCTTACAAACACTTTTATTTTCGTTATATCTGAGGGGATTAAACATGAAGCGACCTAGCGAGTAATATTCTTCACAGAGATAGAAAGAAAGAAAGTCAACACTTACATAGTTTTACATGTAATAACATTTACTTATCGGCAAGGTCAACTTAGATAAGACTAAGAGAAGCATGCTAAGTTCTTAATTTAGTTTGTATTCGTTCTTATTGAATGAAAATGATTTTTGATGTTTACACTGTGATTTTCTTTGTCATTTCCACTTCTTGTTTGCCCTGGACAAAAAGCGAAGCAACGAGGGACGAACTTGTTCTCGCAGCACAGTTAAGGTTACAAAAAAGAGGCGGGGCCTAATTTGTACGGGAAAACTTGACTATGACATCATACACAATATACGTCATACAACATTTCTTTAAAATACCACAAAATGAGTTTATCTGCTAATTTAACCAGTAAGAAATCATCAAACTACATAAAAACTTACTACAGCGTGTTATTTTGTCTTTAGTTAAATCCCACAGCAAGTTATAAACAAGTCACTGATCGCAATACACTTGTCAATATGACGTCATTTCTTACAACGTGACGTAGTTTGTATGCAGTGAGCGACAGTTACAATTATTCGATATAAAGAATGTACTAAAAATAATCGCCATCCCGATTACGAATACATTTTTAAATACAAATTAAAATTTAGTCGATATTTCCATTGCGCACCTTAACTGTACTGCGCTGCTGATTAAAGAAGTTCTCGTAGACTATAACCTTCAAAATGGATGCAGTTCACTGCATGAAGATGTCGCTATCCTTACAAAAGAAAACTTGGTTCTAAGAAAAAGTCAGTCGAAGTTTGAATCTGAAATAGACGTTCTGAAATCGCAAATCAAAGACATTTTGTCCGAGAACAGAAAGTTAAAAGAAAATTTGAATCGAATTGATAAAGAAATATCCCGAACGAGAAACAAGACATCCAAGACTGAAGATAATGTTTTCTTTGGGAATAACACTGACAAACATGGTTTAAGCAAGCACCATCAGCGACAAGGACTCGGACCACGTAAGTATTGAGTATTATTTCTGATGTCTATGCGGTTGAATTGGTTTCACTATTCATATATTGCTTCTGTATTGTTGTACCATATTTGCTGTATAATTGCTATGCATTTTAAAATTTGCTTACAGAAAACAGAAAGCGATTACTAGGATCAAGCCCCGGGATACCAGTCAGTTCGCCGATAGCGTTTACAGCATGGCTTTCCGCAAATGTCAACAATCCAAGTGATGGACAAACTTTTGTTTTTGATCATATAGTCACTAATTTTGGAAATGCTTACAACCACCATAACGGCATGTTTACTGCAACAGTTAAGGGCATTTATGCTTTTTACGTGTCTATTCTTACGGGTGCTGGAAAAAGCATGGAAGTGGAGGTAGTTCGCAACAACCTGAACATCTGCTATGTCTATAGTGGAGACATGGACTTTTGGGGCCCAGGATTCAATATGGCTGTGGCTGATCTAAACGTGGGAGATGCTGTTTGGGTAAAAGTCAGTACATGGCACGATTCGGGCCTGTTAGTTGACAGCAGATTCACATCTTTTTCTGGATTTTTGTTGTACGAAACTGATTGATTTTTTGATTGTTTAAATAAAACGAAGCGAGATGTTCATTTCAAGTATCAGTTCGTATAATAACTTCAGATTCTTTTTCTTTGCATCCGATTTTGGATTATCTCTACGGTGAAGCTTTGTTTAAGATGCAATTTTAAGAGTGCTGAATGATGACAACTAGTCCTAAATATCTGACGTTTTCCTAGCTTTTTTTTTTAACGATTTTGATATTTTACGTTCCAGAGAAACGTCAGAACCGGAGCCATTACGAAAACTGGGAATTTCGCTGTCTTCAACTGAAGTTAATTTTAAATATTTTACTTGCAAACCGAACTCAATGCCGAAATCAGAATTAATCAAAAGCACAATGCCTCTGGTACTCACCAATATCGATGAAAAGAAAATATCACTCCACATTTCGTTATAGGACTTGGAAGATTTTAAAATACACGAAATGAGGACAAATCTTGACAATGTGATGAAATCTTTTCTATATACGGATTGTATATTTTGAATAAGAACCATAGAAACAATATTGGTAAGTACTAAAAGTATGTACTATTGATAACTTGTGACTTTGAAATTTAATTCGGTTTGCAAGAGTCTACATTCAACTCGAGAATACCGCCTCCGGTTGGAGACGGCAATTCAACAGTTTCGTAAAGGCGCCGGTTCTGACGTTTTCCTGACACGTAAAATATCAAAATCGTGAAAAAAGGGCGGAAAACTTCAGATATTTCGGACTAGATGACAACTTGCAGACTATTGGGATTTAAAATAAAGAGTGTGGAGATAACGAAAAATATTCGAACTCAAATGTCCATTTAACATTTACACATTAAGAGCGGAGTATACACGGTCAGCCATAACACTAGAGGATAGGATCAGGTGCCATTGAGGAGTGAGCATCCCCTGCCGACCCGTCACACCCGCCTTATGCTCCTTGTCATGATCGGAAAATCCCTGGACAACTCAGTGTGAAAATAATAGCCCAACAATCAGTATCAAAAAAGTCATTAAGCATTTGATTCAATGATAAATGATATTTGTTGATTAGGTCATTGTATCGACTTTAGAACTTGATCTCGAAATGATGACTTAATAAAACGAGACTGCTGATATTCTTCCTTCATCAACTTTTTTTTCAATAACTTACCTGGTTTTAAAAATTGTTCATACATGTACGTAGGACATGCTCTTCCGTATCGAATCAACCGAGGTATATAAACTCCGTATGCAAGTGACAAAAGTATATTGCTGGATAAGTAAGGGAAGTTGACGATTGAAAAGTTAAGCATTATAACTTTGTTGTTAGGTAACCATTAAAGTCTTTTTCTAATAAAATATCCAAATATTTTTAAACAGACGTGTCAGACTCTTTGATATCTTTTATTTCAAGCTCACCGGGATATATCGTGTCGACATAAGAATGGAAGTAAATATTGCTAATTAATATTACGTCGTCGATATATCTAAATGTCGATTTGAAGGACACAGCAAGTGTTTTCTTCTATTCACGTAAAATATTTTGAACAAAGTCTGCTGTACATATGAATACAAAAATAGGTCTACTAATAACGGGCGCAATTGGTACCCATGGAAATTCCAATAGATTGTTGGAAGACCTTGTCTCCAAAAACCACATACATGTATGCTAGTAATAAATTGTGTCTCCAAAAACCACATACATGTAGATATTGTCAGAAACCTGTATGTACAATTAAAATGTTTTTTTAAAAGTAATTTTGCAAAGGACCAATGACAAGGTAAGTAAATTTACGAGCTTCATTTTTTATTGAAAAAGTAACTGTCGATGTCAGAAAGCCAGGACTTTAATTTATCGTGGGGCATAGTTGTATATAAAGTTGCAAAGTCGTGAGTTTTTATGTGTACAATTAAAATGCGTCCGTCTGTCCGTCTGTCTGTCTAGCTGTCTGTCCGTCTGTCTGTAAATAATTTTTCAAAATGCTACTCCTCCTACAGTTTTGGTTTAATTTCAATATAACTGAACACACAAGTAGACTACACTAAGATACATAATTCTGTATATCAGTTTTTGATTTCGATAAACGGTGTTGCCGTGGTAACTAAAAATAGAAATTTCTGTGAAATTCCTTTAAAATGCTACTCCTCCTACAGTTTTGGTCTGATTTCAATATAACTTGGCACACAAGTAGACTACACTAAGATACACAATTCCGTTTATCGGTTTTTGATTTCGATAAACGATGTTGCCGTGGTAACTAAAAATAGAAATTTCTGTGAAATTATTACAAAATGCTACTCCTCCTACAGTTTTGGTCTAAGTTCAATATAACTTGGCACACAAGTAGATTACACTAAGATCCATAATTATGTATATCTGTTTTTGATTTCGATGAACGGTGTTGCCATGGTTACTAAAAATAGAAATTTCTGTGAAATTCCTTTAAAACACTTCTCCTACAGTTTTGGTCTGATTTCAATATAACTTGGCACACAAGTAAACTACACTAAGATACACAATTCTGTGTATCGTTTTTTGATTTCGATAAAAGGTGTTGCTGTGGTTACTAAAAATAGAAATTTCTATGAAATTCTTACAAAATGCTACTCCTCCTACAGTTTTGGTCTGATTTCCATATAACTTGGCACACAAGTAGACTACACTAAGATCCATAATTCTGTGTATCTGTTTTTGATTTCCATGAATGGTGTTGCCGTGGTTACTAAAAATAGAAATTTCTGTGAAATTCCTTTAAAATGCTACTCCTCCTAATGTTTTAGTCTGATTTCAATATAACTTGGCACACAAGTAGACTACACTAAGAACATAAAAAGACTTTATCAAGGATCATTATTCTATTTATTGCTGTTGTTAAGTTTCAATTCCCAACTGCTTAAGTACTTTTCTCTTCCTTTGCTATAAGTGCAAACCAGTAGAGCTTCAGTCTCGACAGAGACTTCTGGTTATGGTGTTGATTTTGGTAAAATTTTGTGATTTCAAATGTTCCAAAAAGTTCCTTAGAAGTAAAATCCTTGTAAAGTTCAGATATCTGTATGGTCCGAAACCCCCTACCTCCCACCCCCGATCTGCGCATGATCTTTCTTTTCCTTATATGTAAATGGGTGCACAAATTCTCTGAATTAGCTTGCTAAATATTAGAGGGCGATCGAATCTTTAAGAATTTGTGTACGACTCTATCATTGGAACGTCTTGACAAAATGTTCAAACCAACTGTGCATGCATGACCACTTCATGGAATACAGCCTCTTGGTGGTAAAGCGTTAAATTCCGAGGGACTGTGAAGTTTAAGGGTGTAAGTGAAAAAAAAATGTATCATACCAACAAATGTTTCTAATTCTTGAAGGTTTTGTCAAAAATATAATCAAAGCATGCATACATCATACTGTTTCTGTGAAACTTATAATTAGATATCATATGTTAATCCTATTTCCACTTGAACACAAAATTACATAATAATGAAAAATTCAATGTTTTTGCTTTATTTAAAAATTGAGTGCTTTTTTTGCAAAGACACCTGGATAACCAAGACAATCCCAAATAGTTCAATCGTTTTATCTTTCTTTATTTATAAACATTAATATCAACGAAAACTAAAATATTTCAATAAATAATTCAAAAAGTACGATAAGTTATATCACAGTTCATCTATACAGTGTCTGACTCAAGTACGTGTGAGACCCGCGCCATTTTTTCCCGTTTCACATACATGCCTTGAATACTGATATTTTGATTGTCCAGATTATCCAGGCGTGTGGGCTTTGGTGCATGGATTTTGTCCATCTTCCAGAAACAAACAGCTTGGTTTAATCTTCAACTGATTCATTTGATTCGCCTGTCTCTTCTCCGTCAACTTCCACGTGATCAGCTTGTGTCGCCGCATTAGCACCATGCGTTGACGCATGAGCAGCATGTGTCGCCGCTTGAGCCTCCTGTGCAACCGCCTGTTCTTTGGCGACCACGGGTGCATTGGCAAGCGCTTTCTTTTCGGCGTACGCACAAGCGGTGAAGCATGCTCTTCGTTCATATCCACAATCTCGGGCGCAGTTCAGGTATCCTTGGCGAGAGGAGCGGAAAAGCAGACGACATGGAGCACAACACATAACGGAGTCATATATACAGTCCAATCGACATGCCTGAAGTTTAGGTCTTCCTTGGCTTGCGTAATTTGGACGTTTTGCACAGACCACCGCCATAGAGAGGAAAAGAGCTAGGAATATTAATTTCTGCATCTGAAATAGATTTTTTTTCAAAAAATGAATGATAAAATTATTTGATCGACTATATTTATTTATTCATTAAATACTGCATATATGAAAGAAAAAATTCTAACAACTTATTTTTTAATTAGATTATCCCTAGGACATTGAACAGTTCCCACACTACCCTACTCCGGCCCCCAACCCCTAGAATTATTGCTGTATATCCCAATGAGGTGTGTAAGTTTTATAAATTAAATTTTCTAATTTTCGTCTTTAATTCAGCTTTTTATCGATGCTTGATGTTATTCTCAGTGAAAGCAAGGAGCGTTCTGTAGAGTTCAGGGCGATTTTTTGTAACTGTTTTGTTCTGTCCGAAAGAAAATGGTTTAAGTGATTGGACTGGATAATATCCACCATGAACTATATAATAGTACTATTCAATAACTATGGCTGCTTACATCTTTTTGTTTCATAACTATTCCTGGTATATCTTTATTTTTTTTCAATTTTTATTAATTCATTTTTTTAATTCATTAAAATTTATAAGTATTTCAAATTTTCAAATGTAAATATGGGCTGCATTCCAATATTACTTTATACCGCTTCATCAATGTATTAAATTGTTCAGAATAACCTAAGTCAAAATATTTTTTTATTAAACAATATTAATTAATACTACCTTTCCAGAAATATTATCTTGGTCTCACTTAATCCAATGTGACTACCAAATATTATATTTCTCTCCACATTCAGGCTGATCACGGAATGAGCAGACTTCGTTAATGAGGCTTTTATATACATTGATCAAAATTCTATGATTGAAACTGGCTGTAAAAATAGATTGCTTTAAAATTTGCAATTTAGATGTTGAGCGTCATTTTTAATCTATTCCAAAAACTGACATATGAATCGATGTATGATAAGGAAATATTTTGACAGGACCAGTGATTCATGTGATGTTGTACAAAAATAAATTCATTTCAACAGATATACGATATTAAAGTTCATCATCATCATTATTAATTTGATTTATTATAGATGATAAAAAATCTACTAGTATAAAAGAATGTGTTCACTTCGCTTTACATATATGCATTGTTGAGCAGAGGAAATGCACATTTCAAAACTAAATGTTCTTGTTTTTTGTGACCTGAGTCACTTAGGTGACCTATTGCTATCCGTTTTTGTCTGTCGGCGTCCGTCGTGCGCCATTCGTCGTGTGTTAACATTTAAACATTCGTCAAAATTGTTAATTTCGTGGCTTCTGGTTAAAAACACGAACAAAATTCAAATGTTGGAAAGTTGTTGCATGATACTCAGGTGACCTATAAGGCCAGTGAGCCTCTTGTTTAAAAACATGTTTGAGAACGAAAAATTGGATTCATAACACAAACAAAATTTTGATATATGTATTGATATCCGTCCGTCTGTCTGTCTGTCTGTCTGGTAATTATTAAAACCTGTGATATGAATTTGTGAAATGATATTTCATAAACCTGCAAAGAGGAATTTTGTTTCCGGGGGGGAGGTCTGAAAATAGATATTCGTTTTTTTGAAATTGGAGGTATTGTTGCAGAACAATGCTGTCGTTCGCCGTTCTTTTCTTGCATAGGATGCTTGTTTTGAACATATTTTATTGAAAAGATATACAAAAGATAACAAAACACGCAAAATTATCTATAAATATAACAATGTGTCATGCAAAAAATACATTAAAATATAATAATTATAATATTTTCAAGTGATGCAATTAAATTAAAAATCAATTTAAAATATTTCATAATAAAGTGTGCAGCAGCAAAAATATTAATATTAGTAATCTTTCTCTTTCAGTTTACAGGTTAAGATAGTGATTTGAGGCATGGGGTCGTATAGATATTTAGATACCTAGTGAAAGTTACCTAGTAAATATACCTGATACTTATAGTAAAACTACTTTAAGGTAGTATAATTGTATAGACAGTAAATTTACTAATCTTCTTATTGACTTTTACTACATGTTGTAACTTATTTTTTTACAGTACAGTTGACAGTAGACAGTGATCAGTTGGCTGTCGTATATAGAATTCAATACTGAGGTTTCAACATATCTGTTAATTTTTTTTTTTACGGAAACAAATTACAAATTTGCATTTAAAGTCATGATCTTTCAAGTTTATGCATCTCTCCGTTTCGATTTAATTAAAAAATGTCTAAAATCTCAAGACACTTTCGCGAAAGAATTAATAACATGAAGTCATAAATTTCATTTACTGTTGTTGCGGTTTTTTCAAGTGTCGAGATCAATTTAATATTTAACTTTTAATCTTCTTGTAATCAATTATTGTCATTCATGGTACATTTTGAGGGATTTCCCGAAGTCAGTAAGCACATATAATGTTTTTCCAGCGATCGGATATTGTCTCTTTTTAAGCTTTATGACACCAGTATCTGACCACATTTACAAGATTACATATCACATATGATTATATGTAACATGATTACATAATAACATTATTACATGCATTTAACGTGATTACATAATAACTTTATTACATGTAACATGATTACAAAGTATGTAATTTGTTAAAACGACAAATGCTTTTGGTGTCGTTGATTTACATTTTAAAATTAAGGAACATTTTCCTAGAATTGATTCTTTAAACAGGAACATTTTCAAAGAAAATAACATGATTATGCATGGTATATCAATTAGGGATTTCAGATTTTTAAAATAGTATTTTGTACGTGAGCGAAAACATGAAATTTATTCATGAATTTATTAATTACTTTTTTCTTCATTTTTTTTTAATTCAAACGTTGTCTTAAGATGCCATTTTACACAAATACAATCAAAGAATAAAAGGGGTTTTGTTTAAGTTAATGAGTGTTATAATAAAATACTGCACATTATATAGTAATGATACGCCTTTCCATTTCAATAGCTCATGCCATAATATCAAATTGAAAAAGTTTTTTTTTTATCCAGTAGGCTCACCCGAGCCAATTGCAAAGTATCAAGTTAGTCGCAGTACTTTGATGGAAACCGTCTGTCCATGCCGCTTCTTTGCATAAGCTTTTACACTTTCAACGTTTCCAAACCACAAAATTAACAGAGTGTATTTTTTTGTGTAAAACATGAACTAGTAACTACTAAAACTCGAAGAAACAGGCTAGGGATTAAAAAAAATTCGAGATAACCGAGGATTAGAGATATATTTAAAATAGGAATTTGTACGTAGTAGTTGGAACTTAAAATTTAGTTGTACAATGAATTTATTAATTACTTTTTTTATTTCATTTTTTTAAAAATTCAAACATTGTCTTTATATGCCATTTTACACAATACACAACAATAAATAAATGATTTGTATTAATTTTTTTAAATGCTTTCATTTATTCAAAACGTATTGTTCTTAAAAAAAACAACGATCAATTATACGCCAGATCAAAATTTATAGCAAGTAACAAACAATAGACTATTTAATGTCTGAAGTCATATATTCTTTGTAAAATGGAGCAAAAACGAAAAACAACCTAGAAATTCAAATTAAGAATTGTTACATCGATTCATTTTCCAAATTATGCAATTTTTCCTTTTACAACTTTTCCAAATCAAAAAATTTCCAAATCAAATAAAAAATTCCAGCAGATAACGATGCAATTTTGTGTTTTCTCGGTAAAATATATAAACTCTAGTTTGTTGGTAAACAATTTAAAAGCGAGTTGGCATGTGTGTACAACTTTACAGGCAGTATTTGAGTGATAGAGAGTCTGTAGGAAAAAAGTTTGTTTATGAAAAAACGGTAAAATGTAAAAATCGGAAAAAAAAACTTTCTGATTGTACAAGGAAAAACTAGGGGCTTGAAGTTTATATTGAAAAAAGGTAATAAAAGTTTCTATTGACAATATGTATGTGGTTTTTGGAGCACACTTCCACGGCAATCTTTAAAAAAAAATAGCGTGAAAATACCCTGGTACTATCCCTATTCATTTGATTGACAGGGGAATACAGGCTAGGTAAATCTGAAGGCGGAGCTTATTATCTCGGGCAGTATAATATACAATGTCCACTCATTTGCTTTCGTTGTATAATTTCCTTTGTTAAGGTTTTAAAATTAGCGATATATGATTTTGTAAATTTTCAATTAACAATAATTTTAATTCATGCGTCACCATTATATATCCCAATAATTTTGAAATAAAATATACCACAGAGTCTGACTCATTTGTTTCATATTTGGATCTTTTACTAGAAAAAGACGTAAATGGTAATCCAACTATTTTTGAAGATTTATGTTAAACTTTCCAATCGCCAACTTTCCTTCCTTACGCAGCCATAAACCTTTATCGTCATTATATGGAGTTTAAATCTCTCAGTTGATACGGTTGATAACAAAGATTTTTATTTCCTATGTACAGGACTTTTGTGAGGAACGCTGACTTCAACAGTTGACGGCTTAGTTTTACACCAGGACAATTTACGGATGCTCGTTTACGATATATAAATGCTCAACATTTCATTCAACCAAAATAACGGGTTATTTCAATAAGTTCTCCTAGAAAGAAATGACAACAATCCTACCCTCAACTCCCGGCCTTCACATATTACTGCACCTAACGTCATGTACTAATGAACACTAGTAAGGTTTTTTACTCTATTATCTATTCTGTACCTCTGGACATGATACAAGTTTCAGTGTCAAAGTAAAACGTTAACAGTAAAAGTTAGTGCTTCTTGCAAAAGTCCAATACTCACGGCACATATTTAATATTGTCTCAGATTATTGTATTTAAACGTTTAGAAATTGACATCTAAAATTAGGTCGATCCTAGGTCCTTAGATGTCTTTATAATTTGATTTGTACTGTAGTATTAAAAAAACACATTTTTTACCACTTTCTTCAGCGAAAAGAAAATGGTTTGATTTTAAACCTACCCTAATTATATATGTATAAATACTTTTGGTGAGCATTAAGGCCCATGAATCTCTCGTTCCTTTGTACAATGTACAATACGTCTTGCATAAAAAAGGTCGATCAGTATAAAAGTGGTAAGCTACAGACGAGTTTCAATAATCAGGGATTGAACCTGAATATATGTAGATCCATGTTTTCAAATCATATGCTCAGAGCATGGGAAATAACAAAAACCTATTAATGGAATTTACATTCAGGTTTGATGTCTTCAGAGTATATTTTCTTTCTTTGTGGCTGTCGTATTTTTAATTTTGTCATTATGGTTTTGCAAGGAATAGAATGCTTTCATCAGTTCATATTTCCTCTTGCGTAAAGGTAATACTTATTTCTAGATAAAATTCTCCTAAAATATACGACAGGTGATTTTTATATATAGCTTTTTTATTACAGCTTAATCATTATTTAATTATTAATTATATCAAAAACAATTTTTGATTTCTGCTTCCAATGATGAATGAAATAAGTTTTAATGAAAAAATTGTGGGAAAGATTTTTTTAAATCAAATTTGATAAGGAATTCTTTTCATTTTATTTAATATAATTACAATTATAGGTCTCTAAGTTTCATATCCTTTAGGGGTGGTATGACTGTTTGATAAATTTTTACGAATATACTGTATATATTTTAGTAGCAAGTTCAGACCAAGGTTATTAACCTGAATAATCGTACGGGTTTCCATAAATACCTGGTATGGTATACCTACTTTGAAAAATGCTATTCATTTTGCTTATAAACATAATACGAAAAGGACTACCAGAAGACGAAATTTGAGATAATTAAATTATTTTTGGAAGCCAATAAAAAAAATTATTTTT